TCTTGGCTACTCCTTGGGCCTAAGGGTGTGAATTCCTGCAACATATCCAGGAAAGAGGCCTGTACAGGCCCTGGAAGTGGGTTCAGAGCCATTGGGTAGAGAACATACGGGGCCCATTGGATGCAGTGTAGTCTGGAGCAGGAAGCACAGATGCCCGTTAGCCCGCCTGCCTTCTCACCTCCTGGAGCAGAGCGTAGCGGGAGGAAGACCAGGCTAGGGCCCTCTTAAAGCAAAGGGTCCTGGGAAAGGACCCCCTCTTGCCCTAAGCGTGGCAATGCTGTAGTCCTATCATTTAACTTTGGGCAAAAGTGGAATTAATCCCCTTCAGTAATTGGTCACCTGCCTATCACCTTCCTGACCGAACTCTAAGGTGAACCTGTTGACCAACACAATCTATTTCCTTTATGGTGCTTCTGGATCCAACATGTCTCATATTTATCAATTTTTCAGTTAAATAGAAAAAAGGACTCACCCAATTACAGGGCAACCAGCCTATCATGATCACATTCCAGTAGCATGCAGCTTGGATCCCAGGTGGCTCCAAGCTGGTGGAATCAATATGAGTTTATTCTCTCCCACCCAAGAGCACAGGCAATTATTTGCCTTTACAAAGGTTCAGTAGTTCAGTACTCTGGTATGGACACACCTGAAGAACCGGAAAAATAAACCTGCATAGCCAGAAGGACTCACTTCCCCTGTGATGCTATCTGCAGCTATCTCCATGAGGCCTTCAGAGAAAAAAGACCTTCTATCTCCCATTCCTATCTTACAGATTTCCTTAGCAAACACTGACTGAAGTGCTGGGTCTTGCTCCTTCATTCTAAAGAGACTACTAGTATTAAGGAGGACGGCTCTTTTCAACAATGAAACATCTATTTTCACCTTTGTCCTACACATAAAACAGCCCTGGGGCGGCCAAGCTAGCCAAGAAAGAAAAGGATAATGGAGATGTTTGTGGGGAAGTTAGGAGAGCAATAAGTTGCTTGAACATAGCTCCTTGCTAAATACCACAGCATGTTCATCTTTTGAAAAACATTCAACATGCTGGGTATAAATGACCCCTCTGAAAACTTTCACCCGAAAAGTTTAGGCGAGAGACTCCACTTCTCAGTCAAAGCTCCCTTTCCTTGTCATTCACAGCTACGCCTGACTGGGATTGTTTTGTGCAGGTCCTTCCTCAGCTACTGTTGTTGCAACTCTGTACTTTTCTGACTGAGTCTGTCAGGAAGGAGACAGGAAATTCTAGTCACCCGCACAGCAGCTGTGCCATTCCTCCTATCCTCCTCCAATGACGTCGGTTGGCTTTGGTGACACGAGGTCAGGAACTGAGCCACAGTGAAGGTCAGGAAGATAGGTCAGTGTTTATGCCGTTGTTGGGCCAGGGATCCTGCTGAGGCTATTTGCTTTCTTCCTTGCTATACTGTTTCTCTTTCCGTTCCTCTTTTTACACGGCACAGCCAAAGCATCCTGTTTTCAAAACATCTGACTGTTTTGCCACTGAGGAACTCATGCTCTGATGCATTTCGCTGAAGTGTATGACAATTCTTCTAATTCAAGAGGTGATAAGAGTTGAAACAAAAATTAATGAACAAGTCTAAGAAGCCAATCTGTTGTTAGAGAAAACAGCTCTAACATGTCTAACTGAACCTGGGCTGCTAGCAGAAGGCTCCCTTGACATTCTTTTCATCTTGAAAAACAATGTCATTGCCTCATAAAACTGCTTCATTTATTTCATCTTGTCATTTTTGGGAAAAATAACCTACCATATTATCCCACCTGGCTGCATATTTCTCTGTAATTCTGGAATTCCATTTGGCCTGGGGCCAGTATTAAGGGATGAGGGAAACTGGGGCCAAGGAGAAGTCTATGTTTCTAGAAGTCACAGAAACAGTTCCTTGTCTAACTCTCAGGCTCTGAAGCACACTTGGGAAAGCCAGTTATAATCTTTGATGTCCCAATTTTCTTCAAAATATAAAAGGGTGAAGAAAAAACAATAAACACACAACCCTACCCAGATGGGTAAATATGAAAGACTGCTTCCTTTTTCTCTACTAGACACAGTCAATGCTCAACCATTTGCATGTTCCCAGACACCCCCAACATAAAACACTGGTTTTCCCATCACCACTGTTGAGTCGGTAAAAACTCAGTAATCGCTTAACTGATCAGAACTAAGGACCCATAATTTTTGCAAAGATGTAGTAAATGCTATCAACAAGTTATCGTTTATTAATTATTACTACACATCAGGTGCCTTGCTGAAGGTTTCAGATGCATTATCTCATTAAATCTTTGCAGTAACCCAGTAAGGTAGGGTACCACTTTTACACTTTGTACCTGTTTTACAGATGAGAAAATTCAGTCTTAGAACAGTTAAGTAAGTTAGCCAAGGTCAAGTAGCTAGTCAATGATAGAGACAGGATTTGAACTATGATCTTTTGACTCCAAAGCCTATGCTTTTCACATACTTCCCTGTATAGAACATCTTCAGACTCACTTCCAAGTCTATCAACTCAGAGATTTGCCAAGACTGCCAAAAATGACCAGATACAACTACACAGGCGTGATAATGATAATGATGACTGTATTTTTAAACAGTGACTTGGATGGAATGTTCAAATAATTTCAACCACATTTAAAAATAAATGTGGAATTTTATTTTTACCACAAATAATTCAATTCCCAGAAAATGGATACAGATCAATTTATTTTTGGTGGCCACAAAATATTATTATTATATTATATTATATTATATTATATTATATTATATTATATGTGCCACAGATTAAGCCTTACCTGAAACAATTATCTGGCTAATCAAGATTCTGGGGGGAAAAAGGTCACTGAGTGAATAGAAAGAGAAGGAGATCTTTTTACAAATGAAATTGACTTTGGCTGTCAGCTGAGCATTATTCATCTACTGGATAATTGCTTTGCCCTACAACCTCTCCACTGCACATATCAAAAATAGGTGAAACTGCATGCCTTGTCCTTAAGCTAACTGTGTCAGCACTAAGGTTTAGCCCTTTCTTTAGGGTTAGCTCTATTCAGCTTTCATTGCTTCCTGCACAGGATACCATAAAGGAGGAGCGGAAGCCTTAAACGATTGGAATTCTCACCGGGACCCACACAGTCTTTGGTCTTAGAGCCTTATTGACCATTACACTGATTAGGAACAATTTGTAAATACATTTGTAAAATAATGTGTCATTTCAGCACTCCAGACACAGACCTGGTTAGAATTTATAAGGCATCAACACTCCAAATGAAAAATAAGGACAATTTGCATTTTCTCAATGTATACTCTTTCTGTTCCCTGGAGTTAGTTGTCTACTTTATCTTAGTAACTCAAGAAGAAAGTTCAGCATGTTTTTTATGGTGAAAGCTGCTAAAAAACTACTCCTAAATATTGGACCTACATCTTGTATGGGCATCAATGCTCACAACATGCAGTGAACAAAGGATCTGTTAATGCTCCGAAGCAGGCTAAAGCATGTGTGAAAATCTTTCTACTTGGAGTCCAGTGTGCTTTAGAGAAGTTATACAGTTAAGCCCTCCTCGTGGGGAAGCAGTTGGTCAAGCTTACAACAGCCTGGAAAATCCCAGAATTTAGTTTTCAGTTGAGAACTTCAGAAAAAAAGTCAGTAAATAGTTAAATCTCAAAACTTTTCTTTTGTTTCTCCAACTTGAATCTGAACTACAATTTGAGAAAGAGACTTATTTTATTTTTTGCCCTTTCATTAACCAAGAAACAAGAGTTAAGAAGAGTCTATCCCCACACTCCCAGGCCCCTTGAAGACCTCCTAAGGACACAGGGCTCCCGGCACTCAGATCCCTTGAGCAGGAGTCAGTAAGCCTTGACAGGAAGGTGATACTTTTAACGTCAGAAAGAGGGAGGAGGGACACACATTCACCAGGGAACCTCAGGGCTGGAAAGGGCATGTTGGCAGGTGTGGAGCAAAATCTCTTCCCAGCACCAGAACCGTAAGATAGGAAGACAATTCTTCAGGCTAAGATGATTGGGGATTCTTAAGATATACACTTATAAAGGTGTAGTGTTAAAGCTTTCCACAAAAACCAACAACAATAAATATATACATACATACACACACATCATATATATTTATAAAGTTAACATTCTCCAAGGGGGGGAACAAACAAACAAAAAGCAACAACTCTCACTACATAAATTAGCACTCTAAATCCAGGTGTTAATTAAACAAATGATACAATGACAGATAATTAAAACTCTTCAACACTAAGTTTTGTCTGGGGATTGTAAGTAAAACTATTTCTTCGCAGTATGGGTGGAAGTTAATCTCAAATAAGTCCACTTTGAAAAGCAGCAAACTTTTAAAAATAACTTTCTTTTTTGGGAGACAGAGTATTTTCTTTCTTTCTTTCTTTCTTTCTTTCTTTCTTTCTTTCTTTCTTTCTTTCTTTCTTTCTTTCTCTCTTCTTTTTAATCTTAGGTCATGCCAGCATCACAAAAGAAATGTTAGAGAATCCCAGAATGTCCTTCTGAGAAGAATTTCAGAATTAATAGAACTTCAGGGAGAACCATTCTCTCCATTGATACATGGAGATCACATTATTTTCTTGTTCAAAAAAATATGTCTAACACCTGGTTGCAATGCAGCGTGTTACCATTTTACCCTATGAATTCATTCAGATTTTATCTTCCTGACAGCGGTTTTTCTTTTTTAAAGGATTTTCATTTGTACAGTTAATAAGCACCTCTCCCCTTAAACAAATTCCAAACTACATCACTAACAAAGAAGTTTGGTTTCTGGGCATGAAAGCGGATGGAGGATTTTTAACTTTTGCTGCAGCATCAAGACACCAGAAAAGTGTGGCACTTGGGGACAGAACCCTCCGAGGCAGGCTCAGCAAACTCGTTCTCACGCCGCGTCCTCGGATGCACCCCAGGCTGCAGGCAGAGGCCGGGGGGAGCCCAGGGGCCGCCGGGGAGCTTAAGTGAATAAACGGTCACCCCTTACCTTGTTAGAAGCCATCTCACTGACAGAGCGGTAGGTCTGGATGGTCTCTAGCTGGTCTAAGCACCAGTCCAATTCCTCCAGCGTTTCCATTGCTAATTTTTGATAAGATTCTTCTGCAAACAAACACACAGGCATGTAGTTAGGCTGGAGCGGCTGCAGGCTGTCCATAGCCGAGTCCCCGCCGCCGCCGCCGATTCCGGAGCTACTGAAGGTGGCCCCGTGCTCCTTCATTATTTGCGCGCTGACTCCTTCCTTCCAACTCTCTCCACCAGGAGAACAAATCACCGCGGTGCTCTGCCTGGGGTGGCTGGTGCCAAGTTTTCACCACCATCCCCCCCCCACCTCACCCCCCTCTTGGATGAGGTGTCCCTGATCTACCAAGAAACTTCCTCCGAGGAAGAAGGCGGGGAAACATCTCTTAGAGGCTCATCTGCATACATGTGTCCTAAAACTAAAGGCAGAAGCAGTGAGTTTTCTCAGGCTCTCTCTGCCTTAGTCATCCCGGGGCTCTTCAGGGTGCGTGATGTCATTTCTGAGGGTTTGCAGTCTGGAGGAGAAATGAGGAAAGCATTTTCTCATTTGCTTTTCTTCTAAATGAAACATTTGGGCGCGGGGCTGGGGGAGGGGGTGCCGCTGACAGTGACTTTGGAAGTCTAGGCAGTCATTCATTCAGGGGGATGTGTACATGTTGGAGACTTGTAATTCAGCACACATTGACCCGCACTAGCAAGAGGTGTAGGCTAGTCTCCCCTCTTCTGAATCTCTCCTTTAAGATGAGGTTTCCCTGATAAGACTTCTGTCTAAGAGAAACTGGAGTTTTACGGGAACACGTTTATTGGCCTGGAGTCTCAGCTCTTGTTATACTAAACAAAGCTAAAACTTCTCTTCTGCCACTGCCAGGGTCACAGGGAAATTCTGAACCGGACTTTCAGGTGGAGCCAGATGTGAACACTGCAGATTTTCACTTTGATTAAAGCCAGGGGCTGTGCTTTGTGGTGGTGGGACTCTAGACTTTCTGGAAATATTTCTCAGTAGTCCATTAAAAAATGTTGTCTTCAAGATCATACTTTTGCTGGATAATAAAGATCTTTCTGAATGTTCAAAACGTGTCCTTCCATACCCAAGAGTCTAATATTCAACATTATTGACTTAAGCACTCTATGTTAATAAACACGGAATTGACTTTATAAATGCTAGATGAATTAATGATGCAACAGTTATAAAAGTCAGCCAGACTCTCCTGCATACATGACTGGTTTTGAGGGGAACAGCATTCATTAATTCTATCAAGCTTTCTGGAAAGCAGGCACACAACAGGTGCTAATAAAATTTAAAAATCTTGTGTGGACTTCTATTACAGAAAAGATTACACACATTCCTGTCAAATTTAGAATATATTTTTCATATGTTCGTACAGAAATCCAAGGGAGACCACATAGCCTCTTATTGTTACTTGAATAATTCTGTGTGTGTGAGACATTCATACTAAGTAGGAAGCAGAAAAGAGAATGAGTAAAAGAGTGATTCCAACGGACTAGAATCACTTGATCGCAGACGCACATTTCAAAGAATAGATCTTTCATTTATCCCTCAAATACACAGATGCTACGATAACGAGGGGTTAAAATTCAATATCCTGTATGTCATACTTAAAAAGCCACAAAACCATTGGAGGTGACTTCCTCTATTTTTTTCACACTCCGCAAAAATGTGCAGACAAGAACTGAGGCGTTTTTAGTAAAACTCATTTCAAGCCAGACTTACACATCCCTTCCCTCCTTTCCCCTTCAATTTTGTTATGCTGCTTCAACAGGCAGAAGCTCCTCACTTACTGTCTAGGGTGTCCAACACACCCCCTTGTCTCCTCTATTTCCTTCCAGAGGATCACTTCTTCCAACGAAGCTTTCCCTGAAATGCCAGAACCCCCCCATCCTCTTTCCCAGCCTCTTATCAGAGACAAGGTCCAACCATTTCCCAGCTACTTGGGCCTTACTACCATCATGTCTTCCATATCGCAACTTGTGGTTCTCAGTAACTAAGATGCTCAGAGCCTTTTGAATTGGCCGATATGCAACATGACCATGAGATGATCTATCACATTTCTCCTTCATGAAGAGGGAAAAAAGGGATCCAATTTCCACTCTGGGCTGACAAAGGAAATACAATAATCGTAACAGCAGAAGGACTAGGAAGAAGGAGGACTCTTCAAAGATCCAGCAGTAAAGGGTTACCTCCACAGCTCATTCACTATTACCCAGAACAAGCACATCTGAGCTCCTAGACTTAGTACAGTCGTGAGATCCCAGTGACTGGCCAATGGATATGATAGACCCGTACTCTACTGCCCTTTCTTATTCTGGTCAGCTACAATATTTTTAAGTGAGAACTTTTGTGAAGTTAGTGTTGTAGTTAGTGAGAATTTGCTCCTTTCCAGACTGTTAATCTATAGTTAAAACTCGGTTTGTGTCTCATTCTGGACCCTTTCTATCACAGTAACTAACGCAGGCGCACAGATGTCAGAGTGGGCTAAGTATATGGGCATCAACCCCCTGCTACTTCTGGGGAAAGCCAAAGGAAAGGACCAGTGATGCTCAGGACTGGCTTCCACACTATAACTTCTGATTCTAGCACTGGATCCAGTGCTTGGTACCTACCGGATACTCAGTAAGTACTCAGAGGAATGCCCAAGCAGCCTGCAACTGTCTAGAGATTTGGATATCTAGAGACTGAATGGTGCATTTGCAGCCCTGTGGGAAGAGCAACAGCTTTGGAGTGAGACTCACACATTTAGAGTTTCTCTTCTGTTTCCTATGTGATCCTGGGCCTCAATTTCCTACATCTTAAAATAAAGATGAGAATATTTACCTCTTAGTTCTTAGCAGATTATCAATGCATCGGAACACAACTATTAATGGTAATCAAAGTAACCCAAAGGCCTGGCATTTGGGAGTAGGGAAGAATAGGAAGGGAGAGAGAGGAAGTGTGAACTCCACAAAGGGTTTTACGGTCAGGATCAGCTACATAATTTTCAGGGTCCAGTGCAAAATGAAATTGCAGAGCCCCTTATTCAAACAGCAGGAAAAGTGCTGTTGAAGGTAATAAAATCATGAAGTTTTTTTTTTTCTTTCTTCTGGAGTCTCTCTCTCTGAGCATCATGGTAGTACTTTGTTTTTTGTCTTCTGTTTAAAAAAACCTTTTATTTTAAAATAACCCTAGATTTAGGGAAAAGTTGCAAAGCTAATGTAGAGAGTTTCCACATACCACACATTTATATTTCTCTATTGTTAGCATCTTACGTTATTATGGCACATTTATCACAATTAATGAATGGCATGGTGTTTTTTATTTACTCTGTAATATTGTGTTTCCTTGGGCATGAGGATACTATGAGGAGAGTGCAGACCCTCACAGGATCCCAGGCCCTACATCCTGTGACTTAGGGCAAGACAGAGCTCACAAGTCGCTGGGGTACCCCTATCTGCCAGCTGCCAAACTGATGTGCTGTGCCCCAGACAGGGGCAGGCTCTGGGGAAGTCAGACACTTCCTTTCCCCACAGTACCAATGCCCCACTCCACAGCAGACAGGTGGCCCCTAAGGGCATTACAAGGTCTGCACTGGGGCGTACTAGATACCCAGGGCAGGGGTGGGCAAGAGGCTCACCCCACCAAGACATGGCGTCTGTCTACCATGGTATAGCCATGCCAGCCCAGGCCAGGGATGGCTGCTACCATGTCCCATCTGAGATTTTGCAAGGCACACGTGCCCAACTCAGACCCTCTCTGCACATGCACCTAGGCCCCCTCTGGGAATGGGTGGCAAGGGGAGGGATGCTGGATGAGTCCTGGGGTGCCAGGGATCAGGGAAATAGTGGGCTGAGAATAAGTCTAGGAGAGGCAAACAAGTGACAGAAAGAAGGTGGGACAGCATATGAGCCAAGGCTCTAAGTCACTGGAGTATACTTCATTTCCCCATCAGACTTCATTTACAAAACACAAGATCAAAAATAAAATTATCATGCGTTTCCAGGCAGCAACTATGGGGCCCTGCTGGATGTGGGGCTCTATGCCTCTTGCCCAGGTTGCATGCCCACGAAGTTGGTCATTTCCTGTCTTGCAAAAATGGCTCGGAGAAGGAACAATGCTTAATACCACAGAAGCAAGTCTCAAGGGGATAAGAGCAGGTGATGGGACCATGTATGATCATGGGGTTGACACTATTTATCAAAAATTTCCAAAGGGAAGAGGAGCAGGGAGAACCAACCTCCTGTTCTTCCCTTCTTTCCCTCTTTCCCTCTAATAAGAGAGGCAAAGGGAGATTCACTTTCTCTTACAGGTCTGGTAGGTATTACATTCGACCCTGAGAAACAGGAAGAGAGAATGAGTAAATAATTATAGCCAATATTAATCTGGTAATAATATGTGGCATTCATAAAGCCCTCTTCTCAAAAGAGTTCCAAGCACACTACTCATTTATCCTTGCAACATGTCCGTGATAAGCCACTGGAGAGGTATGATTATCTCTAAATTACCTTAAGGCACAAGCCAAGAAGTCAGAGGTTAAATTACTAGAGCAAGATTCCTGGCAAGACCATTTCTTGGTCTGTGAAATAGATTCAGCTCCACGCGGAAAATGCGTGGATTCCTGGAAATGCTGATTTAAAGTGGAATCTTACCGTTGGATATTTTCTATTTAAAATTGTGTAATTGCCTTCTTAAATGTGGTCACTTCTTGAGTCTCCTCTTCCCTTTTCTGATGTACCTAACGCAGTCATTAGCACACAGAGGCTGTGCAACATTTACTCAGGAGACCTGGTATGGTTCTGGTCCTTTATCTTGCTTCAGTGGCTGACATAAGGCAAGTTATGCAAGATTGCTGAGACTAAATTTCTTTATCCGGAGAATGAGGGTAAAGATACTTACCCTATTCTCACAGGGGAGGTAGAATAGGAGGATACAGACAAACCAGACTGTAAACCTTTAAGTATGATGCATACTTGATAAATATCACATTTATTATTACAGATGGGATATAGGTGCACTAGAGAAAATTAGAAAATTACGGAGAAACAAAAATTTGAAATGATAAAAATGTCACATTTTTACTAAGCTCACT